ATCAGAACAGGAGTTGAACAGTGCTACGATTTCTTTGCTATTTCTTATAATAGAGTAGAGTAGAGTAGAGTAGAGTAGAGTAGAGTAGAGTAGAGTAGAGTAGAGTAGAGTAGAATAGTTGGAAGCAACCTTGAAGGTCTTCTAGTCCAACCCCCTGCTCAGGCAGGAAACCCTATACCATTTCAGACAAATATTGACCAATCTCTTCTTAAAAACTTCCAGTGTTGGAGCATTCACAACTTCTGGAGGCAGGTTGTTCCACTGATTGTTCTGTTAGAAAATTTCTCAGTTCTGTCCTTGATTAGTTTCATCTATTACCTTCATTCAGTAGCTGGCATACTGATTCTTTTCGAGTTATTTTGAACATGTATCAAGATGCTCTTTTTATATTTCTTAACATCTTTTGCTAAATCAGCTTAGTTGAAGCTTTCATTTTCTACAATTATAGTATTAGATTACCTGTCAATACTCTCCCTAAACGACTGGACCTCTTTCCATTTCTTATATGTTCCTTTTTTCCCCCTTTCAAACTGAAAACAATCTGGGCATGCAAAGGTTAGTTCCAAAATACCAAACTATTCAGAGTCAGAACAGAGAGGATCCTCTCCCCAATTATTGTATTTCACAATCAACTTAACTTTATTTTTTTCTTGGTAGGAGAGATAAAGCTTTGGACTGCACCATCTATATTACTGCAGATTTATTGAAACAAAACACCTTGATCTTTTTGGGTAGAAGAAACCATAAAGCAAAAGGAATACAAGTATCCTGTCTCAACGATTAATGTTTTTATATTAATTCAATAGTTCTCAAAAGGTAAGATGTGACCTCCCAGGGAGTTGTAAGCAATTCAGAAAATAGTCACAACTAAAAGAATGACATTGGTATGGTAATCAAGTTTAGGCTTTGGGGTATTACTAAGCTTATAAATTGGTTTTCAGCTTCCTTTTCTTGTGAATTGTCAGCGATACTGTATTCTTCAAACTATTACCTATGTAAAAGAACATTAGTTTGAAATAAAGTTTTTTTCATATTTTCATATCTGTTTATTCTACAAAATGTTTAATCAATTAAAATCCTTGTTAATTAAACTTGTCCATTTTTTTTGTACTTTAACTTAGGTGCAATAGTTAAGGCACCAGGATAAAATCTGGGAGACCATGAATTCTGTTGTTTCCACCTTAGGCATGAAGCCATGAAGGTGGCTTTAGGCCAGTCACTTTCTCTCAGCTATAAGAAGGCAATGGCAAACCATTTCCAAAATTGCAAGAATTAATCTAAGGATTAATTTGGGCTTGGCTTTTCCTAGAAATATTTGTATGTTTCAGGCATTTCTGCTCATGTGGTATTTAGTAGTATATTTATAGATTTTGGAGTGTCTATAAAAATGTATATGTTAGTTATGTGCCAGTTTTATATATTTTATAAAGCTGTAAAAACTATGTCATGGTTTTGTTTAATATATTCACACTTAATTATTAAGAGTAACTGGTATATTTATTTTTTATCTGGCCCTAACCTTAATGAAATCATTAGCTTTATTTGGGGGAAATCACACAAATTCATTCATTATTTAAAGAAGCTGCAGTATTACAGAGTTTGAGAACACCTCTTTTGGTCTTTAGAGGAATTTTAAAAATTCTCTATATAATTGAAATCACAGATTTGTTTTTTCCCAGAGTAAGAAATAAACTTGTCAATATTTTAGAAAAAGAATGTGAGCTATTTTTCTAAAATATCGACAAGCTTTTCTTATTCTGGGAAAAAGCAAATCTGTGATTTCAATTATATAGAGAATTTTCCTTTCTACATTCCGCCCTCTTTCAGCCCTAGTAATCCTCTTTTAATAAACTAATTGAGATGATACAAGAACAAAGCTCTCACTTCTACCCTCTGTTTAACTAATATATTCTCATCATTTTATATCTTTACTGATCATAATGTTGCCACTGAGAGATATTCCTCTTCCCTGACTTATTATTTTAGGGTTTTTACATGATCACTCAGTCAGTGATTGAGCAAGATAAAAAGTACTTTTATGTTATATGAAATGTTAAATTAACACAGCACTATGCTGAACCTAATGATAGATTTAAAGCAATACCTAAGTCCACAATAAAAAATCTTATGCATGTAAATACAAAATACTATTAACACAAATTGGGAATATAACTATCAACATAAAGGCCAATTACATTTTGACAGTCTGGTGACAAAAAAACAAACATAAATCCAATTCAAAAGAAGCACTCAAATAAATTGTATTCATATAGATTTACTGAAGGCCATATTTCATTCTTGTTCTCCTTCCCATCAGTTTCACCCTCTGTGCTTCATAATATATAGACATTTAAACTAAATACACATAGCTTCATGTCAGCTAATGCAACAAAACAAATTAAAGTAAATGGCAGTCTAGTTATTAAGTATATTTTCACCCGGAGGGCAGTATTAATGGAGTGAGCCATTTGGGAAGTCAAGATATGGCATCTGCTTTATTTTAACAGAAAATTAGCAGAGGTGATATAGACAGGTCGTCTCAGTAGAAAGAAGGCTTGCATCTTCCATTTGTAACTGGCACTTGAAAAACATTTAAATGTGAAGCTAGCTCTCACAGAAACAATAAAGCAAAGAATCCTTTTGAGTTATATGATTTTTGACTACAACAAAAGTCATCATAGCATGAAAATCACTGAAGAATTTTAGTTATTGTTCCTTGACACATGACTGCTTCTATGACTATAATGCCATATCTTATCTGAGAGAGAGCATGGAAATTGATGCATTCACTTTAACTTCACTTAAAGCCTGATGTGGATTTTATCCTGAAGGGAGAACATACATATTTGACTGATCTTTTCCTACATCAAATCAGGAGGACAGAATTTTGCTAGAAGCCATGTCCTAATTCTTTTCAAGTGCACATCATCACTTTTCTGATACCAGATTTTGACTGGAACAGAAATTGCATAATGGCTTTTGCATATTATCAGGACCACATAAGGCATTTGTGCATCATTTTACAAATATATTGACTGAAAATGAAAAGATATTATTATTCACTTGGAAAATACTACATTTAGCTATTTTGCAGTGAATTTTACATAAGAAAAGGATATCATCATCACTTCAGAGTTTACTCCCTCTAATTTGTTAACACATATTATATTACCAAATGTTTTTTTCTTCAAAATAAAAGCTGCACAAGTGATTTATCCCGAACATTCATGTATGTTAGATATAAGAAATAATATATTGAACTGGACTTGCCAAATACATTTTGGATTCAGACATGAAAAATCCATAGCAGCTAGTTGATATGGAACACAATTAATTCTGAATGTCTCCTATTTCAACCTTTCCTAAATGAATGACAGCTGGGTAAGTATGTACCAGAAGGTTTTACAGTGAGAACTTCCCAATAAGATTGGGATCAGTTCAGCTCCAGTAGGCGCTAAAATCAGTAAATTATCTTAATATTTGGTCCTGAAAATCCACAAGGCAATTGAGATGAGAGGAGAGACAGATGTGTCAAGCTAAAGGACTTGCAAAATCAAAGAGCAGAACATTATCCCAAAGAAAAAAGTAAAAACCAATAACAATAAGATTGAAATGTATAAAGAGAACAGGCTGATAGGAAATTGTCTACTTTAACTGCTCTCAAGCCTCCTAGATGGTTTCACTTAGTTTCATTCAACCTCAAAAATCATTTCTCACAATTCTCCTAAAACTGCAGATCTTCTAAATAGATATTAAATGGCGGAGAAAATGCGAAGAGCATTAAGAACATTTTCTAAAATAAAACAGAAGTTAGTTATCTTCAGATATTTTGGTATAATGTCATGCTTTAATACTACTGTAAGACATGACGTTGTACCAAAATATTTGATTAGATATTTGATGACTAAATGATTAGAACAATATTTTAATTAGAACCAGTTAAAATATAATACCCATTTTCCTAGGAAGAACATAGGCACTGACTTTTTTAAAAAATAAATTTCTCTATGCATCCACAAAATGATCTGCTCGATTAACAAAGCACAGCATGAGACCAAAAATATTTCCCCATGTAGTGTAAACATGACCAAATAAGCTATCCAAAACTATTTATATATTTTGTCAGCTAAGAGTCAGCCAAACTAAACTTCACAATACAAGTGGGCAGGAACAAGAATTCACACGCCATATGCTTTCTCCAACTTTTAGTTTTTATTCTAAAAGCAGCAGCCTCAGGATGAAAATATGAACAAATGGCTTTTGGAATATTATCAATAAATGTCCCACAGATGTCTATTTCAATTAGTCTAAGTGACATTTCCATGTAACTTTAAAGACTTTAAAATATATTGAGAAAGAATTGCCAGATGATGAACTTTTTAGAACTACAAGTAGGCAAATCAAAGCTCTTTAGAACAAAACAAGTGCTTGTTCTAAAGATGAAATCTTCTAACCTTAAGACCTACCATTTCTTGGCTAAACTTAGAAGGTGGATGCAATCACTAAGATGGCAAAAGCTGAACTAAATACAGTGGATATTTCCCATGAAATCTTACACTTCAAACAATCAGCAATATACAGTAGCTATTGGCCACAAATTCTGAACATTTTATAATATGCACTTCCAGAATTTTAAAAGAAGCTTTGAAAATGATACTTTTTCGAGCATAAAATTTCATTTTTTTTAAAGAAACTGTTGCATTTAACTGTTTTTAAAAGTTATGCTGCTGAAATGATGGCTGCAGCTATGAAATTAACATTGAAACTGATTTTCTGTTTTTTTCCTTTTCCTCCAACCACCAACAGTAGATATCCTCTCTCAAATTCAAATTCAATTCAGTTTTTCTCCCCAGGATTTAAAGAAACGTTTCACCAAGAAGTCGATCGTGGTAAGCTAATAAAAGTTGAGTATCTTTATTGGAGAGGGATAACTTTTGTCAGAATGAACAGAGGCCAGTTCTTTCCATCTCTCCCCTTCCCCGTGCCCTGTACATGCTCACCTGCTGCTTATCCGAAGAAACATTTTGAAGGGATGCCAAAAAGCAGGGAAGACAAGAGAAACCTCGTCCAATACCGTGGCACTGACAGGCACCAGGGCTCGCCATCAGACACAAAGGATGACGGAGCAACTGCACAGCTGGAGGAGGAGGAGGAGGAGGAGGAAGGGTCGGGGCTGAGGGGTCCAAGGATGAGGAAGGAAGATGTCAGAATGGAAGGGGAGGGATCTTTACCCCCCTCCCCGTGTGTGTGTGTGTGTGTGTGTGTGTGTGTGTGAGGGAAGGAGGGAGGAAGGAGATTGGAGGATGAGGATTGAGAAAACGAAGGAATGGGGGAAATTGAAGGGTATGCTAGGAAAAAGTGGCTGAAGATGGATGGAAATTAACAAGGAGAAGCAACAGCTGCAATTCGAAATCCATTCGTTTGGGAGGAAATCCCTATTTACGATACATTGGAAGTTATTTCTGGTTACATATGGTAGCTGCAAAGGAGAGAAGACTGAAGATCTAGAAAAGCTTCAGAAATCTCGATTTATGGGAAGGGGTGGAGGGAAACAGTAAGAAGGGAAAAGGGGACCGCGGCCAAGAAAGCTGCTGCTAACTGCAAAACAGGAGCGGGTTGTTTTCTTTCTTTTCCCCTAAAATCTGTGTCTCCAAAGAAGCGTTAAACAGTGGGAATAGTACAGAACGGGCAGGACAGGAAAAGAAAGGAGAAAGAAGGGCGACTGGGGGAACGGAGCAACGCCACGATTCCCAGGAAAAAGGGGCTAGGAAGGACGCAGAGCCAGAGAAGCCCGGCGGCTTTACCGCCTTTCCTTCTACCCCACCCTTCCCGCCGTCAGCCCGTCCCTCAGCCTCGCTGCCACAGGCACCGCTTTTCCTCTCCCCCTTCCCGGTGGTTATGACGGCGCAGACGCAGCCCGGCCCGCCCCGTGGCCTCCGAGACAGGATCCAGCCGGCTTAGGGGGGCGGGGACCGAGGGAGGGATTGAAAGCGCAACGGCCGAATGAGAGGCCAAAGAAAAGCCCGGCCCGCCCCCCGGGCGCCGATGACGTCACTCGGAAGCGAAGCGCGGGAAAGCTCGAAGGACGGCGGGTGAGTGAGGGTGGTGGGATGGCGTAGCTTTGCCGGCGAGGGGATGTGAGCCGCTCTTTGGGGCTGTGCTTGGAGAACGAGCGTCCCCCGTAGCTTGTCTCACGCACGTTCTCGGGATCCGGAGGGGGAAGGTCCTGTCGCTGTTTCTCGGGTGGAAGGAAATAAGGCGTGTTACATTAGCTGACCCAACTTGGAGCTCTCTTGGTGTATTGGACGACATCTCCCATCATCCTAATTCAGCGTGGTTTGGGCGGGGGGGGGGCACCTGGCTGAGAAAGCTTGAAATAAAATGTAATTTTTAGGGTTGCTGCCCCTGATCCTGAAGTTGCAACTATAATGACCATATAATTGATTAACTTCTGGATGGAAGTGATCAACATCAGTAAAAAAAAAGGGATCCCATATATTTTGCAGTTTTTTATTAAAACATTTGCATTCTATTTCTGCTAGACTGAGGGCTTTTAATGAGGGATATAAAACGTTGCTTTTGTATTTAATTGCTGAAGCCTTTATAATGTTTAAATAGGCAAAGAAAATGTCCTCACAAAAACCAATGAGATATGGACATACAGAAGGCCAGACAGATGTCTGCTTCAATGATACTGGAAGGTGAGTGATTGAAGCTTTGCTTATCTAGTGATTTACTTCAGAAATATACAAATATTTTTGAAATGTGCTTAGTTGCATGAGAACACAGAAATCTATTATTGGTCGCAGATGTCTCCAAGTGTTTGTCCAAAATGAGAAGTTTTCTGCTTTGTAGAACACTTATATTGGCATTCTGGGCACCGCTGTGCAGAAAGGCAGAGTATAAATATTAAAATATTTGTATACTTCAATTGCAGTTCCGCATAGATATATATGGAAACACACCTGATCCTTATGAGTGGAAAGTATGTTGCATGGTCATCTGCGCCTGACTGAATAATAAACAGTAAAGGAATTAAGAGAAACTACTATTGGATTCATGACAGCACATTATAAAGTTCTTTAGTCTCTTTTCAAAGTGACTAGATTTGAACTCCCCCTAGCCCACCATGCAAGCCATGCCAAAGTTCTTTCCCAATATTATTAAAATAAATAATCAAAATAATTAAACATATATAGTTAACAATGGCAACTGGAACCAGAATTGTTGTCACTAAGCAACATGGTCATAAAGTGTGGCATCATGTGTTCACATTACTTAGCAATGTAATTCCAGTGCTGCCAGCTGCCATCATTAAGTGAATCCTTGGGGGTTTGCATAGATATAGTTAGCTAGGTTTGCACATTATGGTACGTCATAAAGCGGTTTAGAAACCAGATTAATCAGATTTGCCTAAGACGGGTGTCAAACTTGCAACGTCATGTGACGTGTCGTGACGTATCGTGACTTTTTTCCATTGCCGATAATGGGGTGGACGCGGTTTCGGCATGACGCATCTGGCCCGCAAATAGCAGTTTGACACCCCTGGCCTAAAACAAAAGAAGACAAAAGCAAGGAAATCACAGCAGGATTTTAATACCTGAGATTAATTAACCTGGGGAGCTACAGTACTTAGGAAACCCCAATCCTATAAATGCTATTCTTGAAGACCAGCCTCTTTGCTTGCAGTCATTATTTAGTCTTTTAAGGAAAAAATACAGTTGGATGGTGTTATCTTTTGTTACTATAGATTTTAATGAAATCTGAATATGTGTATGAAATAGTTACGCATATTGTTACTATATCCTTGTATTTTGATTTTGTTTCTTTGAATAGTTGTATTGTAACTTGTGGCAGTGATGGAGATGTACGAATTTGGGAAAGCCTGGATGATGATGATCCAAAGTCCATTAATATAGGAGAAAAAGCCTACTCATTTGCTCTCAAGGTACTCCTGAAACTGATACTAATGATAGCCTGATTTCTTTCACTATATGCATAAATGTTATTTGTGACAGTACCTCAACTAGGTTCATTTATTATGGTTAGTATTTTTCTAAAACATGATTAGTGAACTGTTCTACAATTGGCTGGATTCATATATCATTTTAAGTTACATAAGCCATAGTGTATAAACTGCAATACTTAGAATCACATTACATTGCTAAGCAAAATGCAAACAAAACATAAGTTTATATTAGATGTGAACCAAGCCATTGAATAGCTTGTATATAATGGTGAACTAAATCCTATTTTGCATGTAAACGTTGATTTCTTTATTTTAGAGGGGTTTTGAATTCAGAATATAGCATTTCTAATTCAGTAGGGTAATTCTGAAACTGAAATATGATCAAAACAGTGGATATCATCCTGGCTCAGATTCAAAACCAGTGGATCCAAAACTTACTGTAGTAGGCAATTGATATTAATTTTCAATTTCTTATATGTGTATAATTCTGGCTTTGAGTTCAGAAAAGTGTGTTATTAAATTGGGTTTGAAAACAAGTGAAGCTGTTCATCTGAGAAGAACAGAATTATGATGAGATTCACAGATTTTTGTAAATTGAATTTTTTTTCATCCATTCCTTTCCATTTTTCTGGTCACATGTGCCTCAAATGATTAATTTGTGGGGACTTAGGGTTGCAAAATGTGATAACTTTTTCTGCAAGTTACAAGACTTCAGTTCCATATAATAGATATATTTATTCATTGAATGAAATTTAATTTCTTTATGTTGTGAAGTAATAATAGAAATGTCTAATTTTTAAAAAAATTATTAAGCTCCAATGTAGAAAATCAAATGTATGCAAATTCCAGTTTTCCCCTGAATCATTATGTGTCTCTAAGCCAGTGGTTCTCAACCTGTGGGTCGGGACCCCATTTGGGGTCGATCGATCATTTCACGGGGGTCGCCAAGCAAGGCTGTCCGCCATTTTTTTTGTCCACCATTTTTTTTGTCCACCATTTTTTTTCCCCTTTTCTGGCGGGTGCCTTACCTCCCTTGGGCTGGGCCAGCTGGTGGTTGGCCTGCTCCGTCTCTGCTGCTTGCCAGCTACGCCTCGGCCGGCGCAGGGGGTGGAACCATGCATGTGCGGCGCTCACGGGCAGGGAAAGTCCTCGACTTACGACCGGTTGGGTAGTCCTCGACTTACGACCGGTTTAGTTCTCGACTTACGACCGGTTTAGTCCTCGACTTACGACCGGTTTAGTCCTCGACTTACGACCAGTTGGGGTCGCGGCATTAAAAAGGTTGAGAACCACTGCTCTAAGCTTTAAGTCTGACTTTCTATTGGTGTCTAGATCAAAATTCCTAAGAGAATTTCAGTATTCAGTATTGGATGAAGTCTGCCCCCTGGTGAATATGCCAAGTTAAAGCAAATCTAGTGCTTTCTATAAGATATCAAAACTTCATTCACAAGTGGAAGCTGAACTTCCTTTTCTGTCCTGTGTGATCTGGGTTGAATGTTTTGAAGTTATCATCTGTTAGGAAAATATAAGGGACATTGCATCAACCTTAAGCCTCTGCAAAAACTAAAGCTTCTATTTTCCCCCTTTCAAAAGGACCCCCAAATTATAATGTGTTGGCCCCACGTTCCCTGGAAGACTCTATGAGTCCCAAAGAGGAGGCTGAGAGGCCAAATTTATAGTCTGATTATTTTCTTATATTTGCATTTGATTAATGTCTATGGATCTGATCATTTTAATAATTAGTCTGCCATTTTTTCTTTCACCACAGTTTTGCAGTTTTCTCCCAAGACATTATTCACTATTAATCTTGTTCGGTAGTTAGTTTCTTAGTCTTTCAAATATAGTAGTTGGTTCTTTCTTGCCATTCATCTACATATTTTCAGAATGTGTTTTCATGTTTCCTCGTTAACTTTATATTTGTATATACATATATGAATCATTATAATGTGTAAAGCAAACCATCAGTCTAGGTCATCCTGGATTAAAAAAATGATCAATTAAAAAGGGATGTTTAAAAATGGAATCTGGCCATATAATATCTGATACCCTGATATGAGAAATTGATTCCCAACATTTATAACAAAAAATTAATCAAAATTGCTGAAATATCCTAAAATAGGCAAATTATGCAAGATACCTGGCTTTTGACACTTTTTGATGTTGTGAAGAACATTTGACATTGGGTGAAATCATACGTACCTGCAATGCAAAGTGGTGGCTGACTCTTGTTTTAAAGCATAATCTTAAGTAAATATATCAGCCTTAATAACATCTACCAATTCTGCACCTCAAAAATATTGTCCTTTATAGTTTTCAGCTTTGGAGCTGTATATAGAAAATAATTAGCTAAACTTGAGATAGAAATGAGGTTGGATTCCTTTTTTTTAATCTCAAAACCTATACAGTAACTTCACCTACAGTTGCTTGGTGTAATCAATGTCTTTAATATTTGAAAAAGCAGTTGGAGAGAAATTACTGGTTTTTTTTTTCCAGATCTTTCCTTTTGTATCTGTCAAATTGCATGAAAGATTATTCTGTTCAAGGCAACGAAGGATGGACTAGTCTATAATCCTAATACTGCTTTATTTGTAGAATGGAAGATTGATTACTGCAGTATCTAACAACGCTGTCCAAATCCATACATTCCCAGAAGGTCTTCCAGATGGTATCTTGACCCGTTTTACCACAAATGCAAACCATGTTGTTTTCAGTGCTGATGGAAGCAAAGTAGCTGTTGGATCTAGGTAAATATATTTGGGAGTTGAAAAGAAAAATACCCAAACTGTTTCAGCTGTGAATTATTTTTCCTACCTGAATTTGCTGTGAAAGAATTATTCTTTTAACTAAGACATAAGCATTCTGTGCAAATAACTTTGTATGTTCTGCTCATTGATCTTCTGAGACAGAATTTAATTCATCCTTCCTCTATTTGCTGTCCTCCAAATGGGTGATTTATGTTTTCCACTTCATAAATTAAGAAGCCAGTGGCAGACCAAAATATTGGAATTTGCAGCCAAACAATACTGGAAGCTTTAGGATAGAGAGGTTGCCTCAGATTTTTAGTGTTTTATAGAGATATAGCAGCAGTCTACGATAGTCATCCATTTTGTGGGATATGGAAAGCTGTCTTCCTTATGACAAAATAATTCCCACACTCTTACTGTGACTTATAGTTATCTGAATACATAAAAGGGAATTTTGATGTTGAGTATTTCACATAAGCGGAACAATAGTATTTGCTATGGAAGATTAATAAGTTTCAGAAAGTTGGTTTTAAACTGCCACATTTTAACTGCATTCTATAGCCATTCTTTAGTTCTTGCTGTTATAAAAAGGTTTTATGGTTTTATTTATGGAAATGGTTTTAGGGCTAGTTCTAATTTTTAATTGATCTGTTAATAAAGTGTATTTGTGGTAGAATTTTCTTTGAATAATTGTTTATTTTAATCAATAATTAGCATGGTTTAATTTTAAAATTAGAACCAGTTTGATGTAATGGTTAAGACATCAATCTAGAAACTGGGAGACTGAATTTTGGTTTAACTTTAGGCATGAAGCCACCTTGGTGACCTTAAGTCCATCACTTTCTCTCAGCCCTGGGAAACAGGCAATGGCAAACCACATCTGAAAAACCTTGTCAAGAAAACTGCAGGATCTAGTCCAGCCAGTTGCCAGAAGTCAAAAATGATTCAAAGGCACACACACACACACACAGTTTAGAATAAATAATGTGAATTAATCTATTACTTGTAGAGATTTTTACTTCTGCAGTTTTCTTTGCTAAAGAATGATTCTAAAAAGGTAGTAAAATACTGTTTAGAATGGTGGTACAGTGACTTTATTCAATTTAAAAATACTCTTTTTTAATTATAATTATCTCTAGTGATTTTCTGGTGAAAATAGTGGATGTAATTGACAGCAGCCAACAAAAGACATTTCGAGGACATGATGCACCTGTTTTGAGTGTATCATTGGATCCAGCTGGTATCTTTCTGGTATGTCCTATAGACTTCTTTCCCATTGCTCTTTTAATAACATATGCTTTGTATTGTCGTATTTCCCCAACACAGCATTTCATTTGGAGATTCTGTTGCAGAAATTTGCATATACTAATTTATTAACTTATGCTTTATGAGTTAATCTCATATTTACTTCATGAAGAGAAATTATTTATTTCTTGGTCTTTGTTAAGGTTATGTCCAAAAAGGACTAAACAATAAATCAAAATAATATGATCGAAATCAAATTTATGGATGATGTGTGAACCTACATACATGAAGAAATTTCTATAAAATTATATTATTAAAGTGATTTAACAATTATCTTTTACTTAGGAAAGATGAATATAGCTTTGAAGGGGTTGTTTGTGGTTCATACTTAGAGAAATTATTGTATCAGTGTATCCTGTGTAAGTGAAAAATACTGTCAGGCATGAAACCAAAAATGACATGTGATGGTTCTTCCCAGCTGAATTCTTTATTGTTTTCACACCTATAGACAAAACTTTGCCAGACTGAGCACTACTATTTGCATCTACAGTATACTCGTACTATTAGGGAGGGCTGTCTTAGGACTGAGTTGCCATTTGCTTCTCTGGAATGCACCCCCACCTCTTGGGGATTCACTTTCT